CTCCCCCCTCCTGTCAGGGACTTGCAGAGCCACAAGGTCCCCCCTGATCCCTACAGACATCCCAACAAATCTCACACTTGTACAAACCCAGCTTCAGATCCCACCTTTCACTGCCTCTGCTTGCAGAGATCCCTGGCAGGACCTGCACAGCCCAGTGAGGGCTTGGAGGGACTTTCCTGAGGCACCAACTGCACTCAGGAGCAACTCACGGGCAAGGATTCCGTATTTCACAGAATCATGGAATGGTTTGGGGGGAAGAGACTTTAAACTTGTCCAGTTCCAACCTCTGCCATGGGCAGGGACACCTTCCACCAGCCCAGGTTGCTCCAACCTGGCCTTGGACACTTCCAGGGATCCAGGGGCAGCCACAGATGCTCTGGGAAATCCATTCCAGCCCCTCCCCACTCTCCCAGCCAGCAATTCCTTCCAAATTCTCTGGCACTGGGAAGCCATTCCCTGTGTCCTGTCCCTCCATGCCTTGTCCCCAGTCCCTCTCCAGCTCTCCTGGAGCCCCTTCAGGCCCTGCAAGGGGCTCTCAGCTCTCCCTGGAGCCTTCTCTTCTCCAGGTGAACCCCCCCAGCTCTCCCACCCTGGCTCCAGAGCAGAGGGGCTCCAGCCCTGGCAGCAGCTCCATGAATGTTTTCCCAATCCATGATCCATTCCTGGATTCCACACAACATGATTTCAACACAATTTCCAGCTCTTTGGGGTTGGACTGAACCTCCAGCAGCCTCTGCTCTCGAAGCATTTCCACATTCCCACCCCTGAACCAACCACCCAGGACCCAGTTTGGGAACCCACCCCTGTCCCCCACAACCCCTGGATCCTCCTCCCAGCCCGTGGCACTGGGGCAGGATCCACCTCCAAGATCAAGAATGACATAAATCAGACTAAAATCCCAGTTCCTCTCTGGTCACTGTGGAAGGTTTGGGACACCAGGCTCGGATGGGGTTTTTCCACATTCCCAGGAGATAAGATTCAATCCTGCACATCCTGCACCATTTTACCCCATTTTATCCCATTTCCAGTTCAAACCTCCAGAGCCTTGGGCACTTTCCACCCATGGAAGTCACGGCAGGAGCTTCCCCAACACGGGGCAGCCCCTGATATACCCAATTTTCCTGTTTGTTTTTTTTTTTTAAGATTCCTTCTCCTCTTTTCTTTCTCAGGCTAATCCCACAGATTTGGTTATCTCAGCTCCATCTCCTGTGGAACTTCAGGTGCCCCCATCCCAGCCTGTCCCAGGTGTGTATCCACAGAAATCCTGGGGCTCTGAACATTCCCAAGCACCCTCTGAACACACTTATTGGGTGTGTTAAACACACAGTTTGATTTGGCATCGCCCTCACAACCAAATGATGCCGTGGGGGGTCACTCCTTTCCATGGAGCACATCCCTGGGAAGGAATTCCTGGCTGGGCGGGTGGGGAGGCCCTGGAGTGGATTTCCCAGAGAAGCTGTGGCTGCCCCTGGATCCCTGGAGGTGTCCAAGGCCAGGTTGGACAGGGCTTGGAGCAACCTGGGCTGGTGGGAGGTGGGTTTGGGTTTGGTGGCACCATAAACCTGTTGGAACAGGGTCAAAGACACACCACAGCCGGTTTTTGGGTTTGGTGGCACCAGAAACCCTTTGGGACAGAACCAAGGACCCACCACAGCCAGTTTTGGGTTTGGTGACACCATAAATCTGTTGGAACAGGGTCAAGGACCCACCACAGCCGGTTTTTGGGTTTGGGGGCACCACGAACCTTTTGGACCCACCACAGCCAGTTTTTGGGTTTGGGGGCACCACGAACCTTTTGGACCCACCATCAAGGACCCACCACCGCCAGGCACCTCCTCCAGACCTTGTCCTGCTTCTCCTAAGCCACAGCTCAGCTGGTTCCTGCCCCATGGCTCAGCCCGTGCCAGCCCAGGGGGTGACACTCCAACCCTCCATCCCATTGTGCCAAGAAGGAGGGTGGCAGAGCCCCCCCATCCCTGGCAGAGCCCCCCATCCCTGGCAGAGCCCTCCATACCTGGCAGAGCCGAGCAGGGAACCCCTGGGCTGCTCCAACCCCACCTCCCACCCCGAGCAGGACCAGGCAGCCCTGGAAGCAGGAATTCCACGGGACGCTCCCACCTCACAGAGCTGGAAAGGGCTGAGCCTTTCCTGCCCATGGGGCCCATCCCTCCCCTTCCCAAAGGGATTTCTCCCCTCCCCCAGGCTGTCTTACCTACGGATTTTGTCCGTGGAATTCCTTTGCGCAGGGAAACGTGGGGCTTCTCAGCTCCCGCCAGGACCCCCGAGTGTGCTGCCATGCCCTGGCGTTCAAAGAGGGACTGCAAGGCAAAAAACAGGGAATTCCCATTCCAGACCCAGCTGGGAGGAGCCCACAGTTCCCCTCAGCCCTTCCCGACCCTGCTGGGAAATGGGATCTGCCCGCACGGCCCCGTCCCTGGGGACAGGGATGGACCCCCCTCCCCTGCACCTCCCCTCGCACCAGGAACCTGCTGGGACAGGGCCAAGGACCCACCACACCTGGGGTTTGGGCTGGGTGGCACCAGAAACCTCCTGGGACAAGGTCCCAGTCAGTTTTAGGGTTTGGTGGCACCGTGAACCTTTGGGGGCAACGTCAAGAACCCTCCTCTGGTGAGAGCTGGTGCAGCCCTCTGGTGAGAGCTGCACTTCCCTGGCCTTGCTCCTGCCCCATCCCTGCTCTCCAAACCCTGGGTGTTCCCAGACTCTCTCTCTCCTTATTCCTGGGGAATCCCCCTCCCAGCACAAGCCCATCAGCAGCTCCACTTGGCACCACGTGTTCTCCCCTCCCTCTCCCTCCATGTCCTCCCATCCCTCTCTCTCTGTGTCCTCTCCTCCCTCTCCCTCTGTGCCCTCCCATCCCTCTCCCACCATGTCCTCCCATCCCTTTCCCTCCGTGCCTTCCCATTCCTCTCCCTCCATGGTTTCTCCTCCCTCTCCCTCTGTGTCCTCCCATCCCTCTCTGTGTCCTCACTGCCTCTCTCCCCACACCCTCCTATCCCTCTCTCTCCCTGCCCTTCCCTTCCTCTACCTCCATGCCCTCTCCTCCCTCTCCCTCCATGTCC